AGAAAAAAAAGTCTGATACTGAATTCCATTACGGTGGAAAAAAATATTGATATTGGCAATGAAATTTCTATTCTAATTTTGTCTCATTCAGAGTAACATTGGTTTACATTTCCTGAGTGCACGCCACCAGGCAAGAAATGCTTTGCCCATGGATAATCTACGGGTACATAATTGAGAATTGACTGTTGGCTAGATTCTATGAGACCACTTTTCGGGTGACTGCAGCCATCGCTTCTTCATATTCTTATTCAGAACAACTCAATATCTTCCTCATTTTCCCTTCATCCATCCTACTCCTACATCTCATGAAGTTCAAACAACTCTTACCCTAGCCTTCTTCTGCGTGTCTCTATGTCCCCAGCATCTAGCCAGAAAAGCCTGAGATCCTGGTTCTTCTGTGGATACCAGTAGGCAAAGGATGAAAGGATCCTCTGTTCCCAAGGGACCAATTGGAATTTTTATATTCCCTAAATTAAATGTAAATTTCTGAAATACATAATTTTCATAGATCTTTTTGCAACATCTCAGGGGATCTACTGCCAATTACCTCATGGGGTAGTACTTAATATACACAACTAAATTAACATACAAATATATGCAATACAGCATGAGATAAGGCTTCTCTTTCTCCCTCTTACACACACACACACACACACACTCCCCCTTTCTCCATCCCTAGATCCTTAAATGTCATGTTCAAAGAGAATGTCTTTGAACCCTTATCTAAATGGGGTCCTGGTACAATGTTTCTTTAAGACAAATATTAAAACTATTATCAATTTACTCCCCTATTTATAGTCAGTTGCCCCCAGTAAAATCCAAGATCCTTGAGGGCAAGGATTACTCCTTTCATTTTCACCGATGTTTCCCCCACAAGCTATTATATCCCTGGAATATAACAGATGCTCAATGGAAAAAGGAGAAGGTGAGGGAATGGATACTGAAGCTGTATCTGGAGAATCCATTAAGATCAATTGTAGGGTTTCAAATGAAAGATTCTGAAACCAAAAGAGTTCCATAAATAATTAAAAAGTCAGTCTTGGACCTAAAGCAGGGTTTCTCAATCTTGACATTACTAACATTGGAAGCTGGATAATGCTTTGCTGTGAGTGACTCTTCCGTGCATTGTAGAAAGTTTAGCAACATCCTTGGTCTCCATCCACTGGAGGCTAGGAGCACACTCACCCCCTGCCAGTCACAATTGGAGATATCTCTAGACATTGCTAAATGTCCCCTGGTGTGAGAGGGAGGCAAAACTGCTCTGCTTCCTTCTCAGCTGAGAGCCACTCATTTAAAGGGGAGACAAATATTTGCCAACATCACAATAGACATCATGAAGAAACTGGGATATTTGAGGCAGAAGGCTATAATATCTTTCATATTCTATTTAAATATTTTTGTAAACTATATTCTTGGAACCCAAACCTTTGTAGGAGTCTGAGAGGGTACTGTGTAGCTTTAAGAATGTATCGACATATTAAAATTGTCAAAATGTTTTTAGTTATGCGTGGTATTGTATGTCTGAAGCCAGGTTTTAATATTCTTCTTTCTAGAAATTACATACCCCCTTTCTACCTATTTAATAACCCCCCAGGAAGCAAATATTCCGAGTCATCATCTCCAAGTAGGAAATCAATTACTCTTTCTTTGCGATGGGCTGGAAGGAACAATGTAAAAAAGGCTATTTTATTAAAGCTTAATACCTAGTTTTCAAAATAGAGATAATAATACCCAACCTCCTGTCTCTCTCATGGTTGAGAAGATGAGAAAATGCTGGCAAAAGTACTTTACAAACAGTAAATTGATCTGCAAATATCAGCTAGGTCCTTTTCTGAGATTCCACAGTCCCCCTGTATGCTGTCATCAGCATTCATCATGGAGCATTTCAACATCCAGGTATCCATCCAATCCTGGGCCCCTCTGGTGGGGGAGGGGAGGTAGGGGCAAAGTCCCGTCCCTTTCTGTCCCTAGAACTCAGGGTAGAGCCAAGCTGGGTACTGAGACCGAAACATGAAGTCCAAGTCCAGGGGATGTGCTGACTCCTTTGAATAATCAGCTTATCATTGTAGATCTTGAGTGAAGGAAACTAAATTCTTTAGCATCCATGTAAGTATTTTTTTCTCCTATGACCTTTAACAGGTAGAAAGCTGATGAGATGAGTAGACTTAAAAATATCCCAGGGTAATTTTCTTAGGATGAAAGCTTTGCCTGTTTTCCCTGGTTCTAATGTCAGTTTCTTCCCTCCTTGCTAGGAAGAGAACCTAGGGAGAGAGTTCTAGTTCGTCCTCCATCATGGTGTTACATCCCAGAGGATAAGGAAAACCCACATGTGTGGTACCACTCATAGCCGCAGCCAGCATCTGTGATCTTCTTACATACAAAAATTAGCTAGGTGCGGTGGTGGGCACCTGTAATCCCAGCTACTCGGGAGGCTGAGGCAGGAGAATCTCTTGAACCCGGGAGGCAGAGGTTGCAGTGGGCTGAGATTGTGCCACTGCACTCCAGCCTGGGCAACAAGAGCAAGACTCCATCTCAGAAAACAAACAAAAACCAAGCCTACCTGCCCATGGCCGAGGAAGAGGAGGACCCAGTGACCTAAGACAGATCATTCATACTCTTCCGAGAATTTGAATCTTGATCAAAGTGACACAAAGAAAGAAAATGGTTGAAGCCAAGTTCTCCCAACCACAGTACTCAGAAACAATTGCTGTTAAGTTTTTGACACCTAAATCTCCATAGCTATTCTCTCTCCTATCTTTTCTGGAGATGGAATTCTTTATCTTTTTCTATCAACTATCCCATATGTTTCTATTAAGTTTCCCTGTTAATGTGTATCAGAGCTGGTCTCTGTTGCTAACAACCAAGGAATCCTAACTGAATCCTCACTCCAAACTTCCTTCCATGGTTTTGTTACTCTTTCATATCCTGCTCACTGCAACAAGAACCATCACTTCTTAGGCCAGTATAAATTCTATTTTATTATCATTTAAAATGTTATTAACTAACAACTCAATATCTAAAACTGTGACATAAAAGCTCTATGATATATAATATATTCGGTTGGTACAAAAGTAACTGCAGTTTTGCACCAACTTAATAAATTCTTAAATTCTCCTTTGGCACTACACAGATCTATGGAAGCTGTACCAGTTTGATGAAGACTATTCTCCTTAATCATCACTCACCCCAATTAAGAGGTTCCCCCTTTCTTTCAGAATACAATTAACAGAAATCAATCTTTTTTCTGACTCTCATTTCCAACGCTACCTGTGTCTTGGCACACCAAACACTGAAAGCAACTTTGTCTTCTGTTAATATTCTGCCTTATGGATTTTACAAAGGTGACAGAGGTCTCAAGAGGGTCTAACTTTATCAACTTAAAAAAAAAAAACTCTAGACACAAGCTTAACAGAATAACAGTATTACAACTTCATGTCTCACCCTCCATTTCTTCTAAACAGGAAAAGTGATTACAGAAGTTCTGTAAGTGATGGGATTGCATCTAAGCCTGGCAAAGCATGTGGGTTAAAGTTTATTTATCAAAAAAAAAAAAAAAAAAAAAAACCTTTAGAGATCCAAACTATTGTGGCAAATGGAAAGTAGGCTTGCAATAGTTATGTAAAAAAACTACAAGCTTTGGACTTGGTGATTTGATAGTTCTGCAACTCAGAATGGAAAATAAGCATTGCTTTTGCAAACACGCAGGGAAAGGATGTGTAATGGAGCACATGGATTATTTGAGGGGATGTGCTAAGACTCCTTTGAATAATCAGCTTATCATTGCAGCTCTTGAGTGAAGGGAACTAAATTCTTTAGCATCCATGTAAGTATTTTTTTCTCCTATGACCTTAAGAGGTAGAAAGCTGATGAGATGAGTAGACTTTAAAAAATCCCAGGGTAATTTTCTTAGGATGAAAGCTTTGCCTGTTTTCCCTGGTTCTAATGCCAGTTTCTTCCCTCCTTGCTAGGAAGAGAACCTAGGGAGAGAATCTAGTTCACTCTCCATCACAGTGTTACATCCCAGAGGATAAAAAACCCCACATGTGTGGTACCACTCATAGCTGCAGCCAGCATCTGTGACCTTCTTAAGGCCAGGATCCTTCTGATGTCAGTTTGTACAAAGCAAGGACAAGGTATCCTCTAGGGATAACAAGGTCACATTCATGGGCATAACCCTGAAGCCAGCTACAGCTAGAAAACTCCAGATAACTGCACCAGTGAGAACCACAGAAGCCTACCTTGACCACAGTATCAACTTCAGAAAGAATCTGGAGGGATGGAAAGTGCTGGTAACAGAAGAATCAAATTAAAATGTACCAATGTAATAGGTGTGAAATGCTCGGTTCCCAAGGCGTCCTTCCCAATGCAAGGTGATGTCAACTTTGGGGCACTAACCCTCCCTATCTGCCAGGAACCTGAGCCAAGGGTTCCCCTGGTCCACACTGCACTTCCTCATCTGAGGCCAGGGATTACCCAGACAACTGAAACAGCTGATCTATCCATGTTCACTCGGCCCAGTTTTGCCAGAAACCAATTGGAAAGCATAATCATCTGGAAGAGTTTGCTAGACCACTCTTTTAAAAGGAGAAAAAAAAATCAAAGCCACCCAAATCTTATGCAGTGTCTGATCCTGGCAGGGCTCCCGGATCTGCCTCCGGAATGCCAGGTTTCCCTCCTGCTGCTGCTTCCGCTCTTGCTTGGCAAAGGGGAATATAGGCTTTTGGCAAATATGCGTTCTAGTTCCCTGAACACAAATAACGGAGAGAAGACAGACAAGGAAAGAAAAGGAAAGGCAAAGAAGAAAGTGAAAAAGGCAGAATGTAATTCCACATCTCAGCTAAGATTTATTTTGCCAACCAAAAGAAGGGAAGGTAAAGGAGGGAGGAGGAGAATAGAGTTGAGAGAAGGAGAAAATAGGAGGGGAGGAGGAGAGATGCCGGGTGGGTTGGGAAGAAAAAGGGAGGAGAGGGAAGACAAAGAGAAGAAATAAGAAATAAGCAGACATTGACCTCACCAAGAGAGCAGGAGAACTCACTGAGGGTGAGGTGGAAAGTGTGATCACCATTATGCAGAATCCACGCCAAGATAAGATCCCAGACTGGTTCTTGAACAGAGAGAAGGATGGAAAGGATGGAAAATACAGCCAGGTCCTAGCCAATGGTCTGGACAACAAGCTCCGTGAAGACCATGGGCGACTGAAGAAGATTCGGGCCCATAGAGGGCTTCACCACTTCTGGGGTCCAATTTGTGTCCGAGGCCAGCACACCAAGACCACTGGCCACCGTGGCCGCACCGTGGGTGTACCCAAGAAGAAATAAGTCTGTAGGCCTTGGCTGTTAATAAATAGTTTATATACCGAAAAAAAAAAAAAAAGGAAAGAAAAGAGAAGAGGAGAAAATGGCAGGAAGGAAAAAGGAGAGCTTGAAAAGCAAAGCAAATTTCATGTCTTTTCCACCTAACAATTGACTTTGTTCGAGATTTGCTTAGAGATGACAGTTGTGTGGTTTATTTTTATTTGGAAGGGTTTACTTTCATTCCTGGAGATGGACCTCTGAGAGGAGTATACCCACGATTCAGCCTCCCTTAAAACATGAGTAAGGTGCACCAGGGATTCGGCCTCCCTTAAAACAAGTTCTACCTTCTAATTCTAGCACAGGCCAGGTTTTAGGCAAAGAAGCCACCCGCTTCCTGTCCAGATCCGGGCAGCAGTCCTAGGTCAGCAGAACACGGGCTCTCTCTCAGCCACCCTCTCAGTTTACACAAAGCGAACTGACCAGCAGAAGGAAGTCCCTAGGCGCACAGAAACTTCTCTGCCTTTTAGCTCTCAGCCTTCAAGAGGGGGACCTTCCTGCCAAAAAAAGCGATCTTATTGTTTTCCCAAGCATTTGTCTCCCCTTAATAAATACTGATATTAGGCCTTTCGGGGGGAAAGGGAGAGAACTGCCAATGGGAAATTTAATTTGCTGCAATCAACCCCTCTTAGCATTCAGAGTCACAGAGTACAGGTAAAAGAATTAATCTCTACCAGAAAGAATTACCCATTCAGTGTTATGAATCTAATCACTTAGGAGGCTGAGTCGGCATTTCGAGTTTAGACAGAGCTCTCAGGAATAAAAGTCACAAGATCAGGTTTCAAATGCTACCTGAGTGGCAAACTCCATTGAATTTGGAGGCCTGCAAACTAAAAAGGACATGGAATGCAAAAAGAGGTGCCACGCCTCTTCAGACACCTCCACGCTGGAAACGTTTAGGGGATAAATAAGTAATTGCGGTCTTTCCGAGCTGCCCATGTGAGGTGCTCTCTTCACGACTCCCTTCTCCAGGATGGAGTGTCAGGCCTGCCAATCATCTCTGGCTTCCCCATTATACTTGGGAGATGTGTTTGCTCTGTGCACGTTGTTTTATAATCCTCAGAGGTGGAATTTCATAGTCCAGCAATGCTTTTGCCTTTGACATTCTCCTAAGCAGGATTTATTGCTTCCAAGGCAGATGTGACTTGAATCGATTATGCCTTTTAAGCAGTCACTCTCAAGCAGCCTCCGGGTTCTGTGGAACACTTTTTGCCTGACTTCATTCGACTTGTAAGCTGATGTCAGAGTGTTTCATCATAATCTAACACTATTAAGGGTCCTGTGGGTATGGAACTGAAAGGGCTATTATACCAGCCAAGTTCAAGGATGTGGTTACTACCCTTGAAAGGCCTACATCCCACAACACAGAAACCTAAGAGATGTCTATTAATATCATAAAATGCAGGCTGAACGAAAGGAATATCAGATAAGTTCTATCTACATTCTACCAGCTCCCCCACTGTTGATGAACTTACCGTATGAAAATAAGTACATTCAGTTTTCTTTGGAATTGAGGTAAGAAGCAGTGTTAAAACATGGCTGGAAAGTAAGTGAATTTGCCCCCAAAATGCCCAATAAAGATTCTTTTTTAAAAAAAAAAAAGTGACATATTTATAGATGTCTACTTCCAAACTCAAAATCACATATCATGCCTGGCCATCCCCAAAACATTGGAATCCCATGACATTTTATAAGCTTGGCAACACTCATCTGAGACAGTAGTAGGATGGGGGACTGGGGGTATCAGGTGACATGATTGACTTCAGCAAGGAACATAGGATCATAACCAAAACGGTGTTTCAAAAAGTTAGCAGTTCTGGAAGAAAAGCCATCAGAGTGGTGTTCTAAACTAATCACAACTCATTTCATCCTTTGTTAGTTTAAAAGACAGAAGCAAGGAATCATGGAATGTTAGGAAGCAAAAAACAAACATCAGGTTTTCACATGACGTTCCCACCTGACTTAAGCAGGTACCCACCTTCAGGAAAGAGGAAGAAGCCCTAACCCACCTTTCTTTTAGTATATGACTTAGGAGAATAGCCACCATACTCCGCTCCATTTTATCTGGCCATTTAAGGGAGAACATTCTAGCAGTCATCAATTTGGGATCAGGAGAGAATATAGTAAGAAAGTATTCCTACACAGGGATCACATGATAAGGAATATTTTCATCTCATTAAATAAAAAAGGGAAAAATCGTTGTTAACACCACTAAGGATGAAGGGTTTCGAATGAATTAGGCATTTAGTGGGAGAAAACATTTCTGGAAGTAACATGAAACATTTTAAAAATCCAGTTCCAGGCACTAGTAAGCTCAGATGTGAAGAAGAGGAAAAATATAAATGGTTTTTTAGTACCTTAGATTTTGCAAACTGGAGTTTACACAATGCCTTTAGGGATTCATTTAGGCCGTTCCCTTGGCTCAAGTGCTGGCTTACAGGATTGGGAGCAGGCATTTGGAGGAAAGTTAATCCTTTCAAGAACAATTTGCTCTCTTTTATTCAGTAAATTGTTCTAAATTTCCCTTTTTTCTGAGTTTCAAAATTGGCTGTCGGAGCTTCAGAATCCTTCCTTTTACCACCAGACAGGCTGGGGGAGACAGGAGAAGCTGAATGGGCTATTTATAACGAAGGGGCGCAGGAGAACAGTGAATAGGAATGAAAGGCTTTGCATAATTCGGGCCATCTCAACAGAGGGCCTCAAAAATCCCATGGGGCAGCTTCAGACATTGACAGGTGAGACAGGCACAAAGGCACGGCCAGTTAAAGCCTTATTGCTACAAGACCCAGGCTTCGGGATTGGTTTTAAAAATAAAACATAAACCACCACCAGGGTTAGAAACAAAAGCAAAGAAACCACAGTTCAAAATCTCTGCTACAGAGTGGAATGCAAGAAACCACCAACCATTCTGACCTCACCACTGCCGAACAGAAAACAAGCTCAGGAAGAAAGCTCCGGGGCAAATGAGCACGAATACCACCAAACCCACAGAACGTTTCTGAAACATTTCCCGACACGGAAGAGGTAGGAACGACAATTAGATCCAGTTTAGTTTGGCTTCTCTAACATAGAAAACTACCAATTCTCGTAAAGCACCTGGTGTTTGTCTATCAACAAGTCTGAAGAGACCCACCAACAAAGCCAGAAGGAGTAGATAGATTACTCTTAAATATTTCGATAAAATAGTACACAAGGAGAAACCTTGAAAAATAACATCTCAACAATAGCGTGCAATGAGCTGAATAACCTTCTGTAATAAATTCAGTGCTAGCAAAACCAGTGCTGATGCACTTACTGAGGGGTACAGCAAATGCACCAAAATATTCATTAGTTACTCAGTGATGCTGTTTGGGATAAGTATTTGCTCTGCTCCAAAGTCTTTGCCAGCTTTGATGCCTGCCAAATTTGTATGTAAATGGATTTTCACTTTTCCAAGGCTAATGGGAGATCTGTTAAATTCTCAGAACAACAAATATACTGTTCTTAAGCTGTATAACTTTTGACTTTTTAAAAAGCAATTTTAACACTAAATCCCAAATAAGATCTAATCAGAAATCCAATACTCAACATATCCAAATGTCGGCAATATCAGAAAAATGAACAGTTTTCAATAGGTGTGATAGTTGAAGATTTTTGGACAGCTTATGCCAAAAAGAAAAGAAGATTTCACCTTCTCCATAGAGAATTTATTTACTGATCTTTGTACCTGAGCATCCATTAAGAGGTGCCTCATCAGTATCATGGAACTCTTCAGAGTCTCCTTCTCGGTGGGTAGAAAAGGGTCTTTGTCCTCCTCCAGGGCCTTCGACTTGGTGACAATAAAATGGGAAATCTGGTCATTAAGGGTGTGCAATGATTGTACAGCTGTGGAAAGAAAGAGAAGGAAAAGTAGAGTCACAACTTGTAACTTGCAAAGAGAAATTGACTAGCAATTTTGAAGGGAAAAGTAAGGGTGTACATACAAGGTATAAACCGGGCAGCTATCAAGAACCCGACACATCCATAAATTTCATCCACAAACGTGTTCAGCAACTAACAAATACTTATTGAACACCATTCAAATGACAAGCCTACATAACATGCTTGGGAGCAAAACCAGATATGGTACCTACCCACATGGAGCATCTAGTCCTTTTGGGGAAGCTTAAAAAAATACAGGTGGCAAGTAGATATATGAATATGACTTTGTGGTAAGTATTTATAAACTGAAGAAATTAACAGGGCATGAGGGGACGGCCCTAGACTAGATTTACATTTATGGTAATATAGTTGGCTATTGTACCTCTAAACAGATGGCCTCTGTCATTAAAGTTTATGAAGGGACAGTGGCCATGTTTTCCAATCAGTGCCACATGTGGGCTGAAAGGATTATTATTTCTCTATAATTCCCATAGCACTTACCATCTGACATGTTATGGATTTGAAGATTTTACTTATTTATTATGCTTGTTGTCTCTTTCTCTATTTTCTCTACAATGGACTTGATCAGAGTGGAGAGGCTTCTTTTAATATCTTTGCTTACTGTCGTATCCCCAAAAACTAGAACAGCACCTAGCAAATAGCTTAATAAATATTGTTGAATTAATTCCTTACATCTCTGTGAATTAGTATTTCTTTCCTTATAGAATTTCTATCATTTTCAGGTAAATCTATCCTTTCAAACCCCAAATAAGTAAATTCTAGGCATTCTCCATAAAGCCACTACATTCACCACAATTACAAAAAGAAATGTAATTATGAAGTTATGAATACAACAGAGTGACTTTGAAGATTTTTGGCTTTGGCCACAAGGGAGTGAGAGGATCCAGATTATCCTCTTGCTGTAAATAACTATAAAACTGAGTACTATTTTAGAAACAACTATGTTTAGACATTGAATAACAAGGGATCGTGATCTTGAGAAAATAGGAAAAAGCAAGTTGTGTCCTAACATCCTGCATTCTGCAAGGAGAGAATTTCCAGACTCCAGCATAGAAAAGAAAAATCCAAAGACAGCCCTACCGTGTCACTGAATTAAGAAGC